TATCAAAATTGGTATTGCTTTTAAAATAATCTGGACAGATCGGACATCTCGGGACCAATTAGGACACAGGTATTTCCATTCAGCCTGGGTTTGAAGAATTTTTAATATTTCAGTGCCACTGGTTAGTGTATAGTATATGTATATAATAAATATTTATCTAATAAAACTAGAATGATTGGGAGGGAATGTATCAAGTTCACTAGTGCTGCAGTTATGACTAATCGAATTTCAGGGTTCAAATCTAAAACTGATTATTATTTACTTAACAATAATATCATTCTATATGTATATTTGATTTTAAATGAAATATTATACTATTATACATGTTAAGAACAAATAACGAAATGCAAATAATTAATATATTAATCGAGTAACAAAATTACATTTACATTTAAACGATGTTCGTCAATCCAATGGCAGGTATCTTTCGTATAATATGAATTAATTGAATTCCAGTGTGTCAACGTAAAACACGTTTAATTTACTATCAAAAGCTTTAATTAAATCGTAACAAGAGTTAAATGACATTTAGTTGGAGAAATATTTTAGTTTTGAAACCATAGCTTTTTTGTACTATAAATCCAAGAGCGTGTATCAAATTTCAAATATGCAGTGTTTGATTTACAGTTTACCGTGTATTTGCTCTCGTTATCCGTTGATGCTATTGAATTTAATTAGATAATATTATATTATTTGACGTTTCAGCGATATAGGTGATTCTATTAATTAATATAGTTTTGATATACATGAAACATTGGTTGGCTGTCAGCGCATAATGACTACCTACGCGAATTGTACGAAAAGTAGAATCAATAACGCGTGTTATTGTTATCAAACCGGTAGATATACGTCGTGTAACAATATTATAACCCTAGTGAATTGTGTTTGTATATACAATTACATTTGGTACATACATTTTCCCCTCTCATAACTAGCGGTTATTAGGTATTATCAATCGAACTGTTATAATTTTATCCCCATCCCAAAGTATAATATAAGCATTATAAGCACATAAAGCGGCAGTCACTGCATCTGTATAACAATATAACTTTACTATTTACTGCGGTCCAGTGGACTTAATACAGCACATTGAATTTCAACATCGGAATTTCAATTACTTTTAAACAGCATTTAATTTTAGTTTAACCCACCAATATCAAAAGCAATTCAAATAAACACTAATAACTATCTGACCTTTTCATTGTACACTTCTGATCGAAATACATTAAATCAAATAATAGTTTAATAAAATAGGTTGATGTAATAGGTATTGGTATAGTTAAACATACAATTACTAGTAGTTTTAAATTAATTATAGTGAAAAAAAAACTGTGTAAGCTTATCAAATATAAACATTACACTTTAGTTTAGAAGTTAACATGTATTATTTTAATAACACTAGAAGTCTAGAACTCAAGAAATTTAAATGAATTATTTTTCAAAGATAAATCTTTTAACATTACATTAAAAAATCTAAAGTTTATTCAAATCGGATTTTTTTGTATGATAAAAACTGCTTTAAAATTGAATACGAAGCACGTCATCTGACCAGTAGCCTACACAACGCGTATAAAGTGAATTGTTTATTCGCTTTTTTTAACTTGAATATTAAACTTTTTATACGGTTCGGAGGTGTGTAAAATGAATTTCATATTCATATATTAAAATATTCTGGAACGGAAAATACTGTTTGATGTATATTGTATATATTTTAAAATATTTATGTATCAACTATACTTCAACTGTGAACGTGAGGATGTCGCATTGTACAAGAATAGACTAAAGACAATTGATTTGGAAGAATATTTACAATATAATGAAAATAATAGGAAAAGTAATATTACATTTAAAACAATATATTAAGCATTTTTGCACGTTCAACAAATAAATATTACAGGATTTAATTCGAATATTTGAACAAAACAGAATACAGATTCAATAAATATTTGTAAATTATCATATCAAGTTTTTACTCCAATACTCAGTATACACTTTTACACAAAAGAAAGCATTGCTTTTTTTAAAACTTTTTTTTTGAAACATTGAAAAAAATATTTTTGTAGTAAAATTTGTTTAAATCTTGTACCTAAGGGTTAAAACAATTTGTAAACTGTAGATAATAATGTATAATTGTATAAAGCTAATTCAATAACACAATTAATTAAATTATTATGTAAAATCAGATATAATTGGATAACACAATTTAATTCTACATTAAATGACTCAAATAAATATAAATTTAGTTAATATTATTAAAATATTCATACAATTTATACTTTTTTCTGGTTAAGTTAGATCAACTGAAATGTGCATACTATTGATTTGGAGAAATTGCAGGATTTTTAAGAATTAATGAGATTGCTAACGGACAATTATTTCCACCGTAATGTACCAATCTTTTGTCAATCATGCCGATGGACCTCATAAGACTTCTGAAAGCAGATTTGAATTTGATAATTGTCTACTTGAGATCGACCTCCCTACTTTTTTAAAATTTTGATCTTATGCCATTAAATTGTATTTGGATATTTAAAATATACAAAATTTTAAATGTTGATTATTCAAAAATTTAATTAAATATCTTAAAATTTAATCTGATCGATCTCAAGTAGACATATTAACGACTAAAAATCAATTTTCAGAAGTATTTTAGCGTCATTAGGGCCAGCGGTAGAATTGACAAAAATGAGCATTTGTATTCACCGTTTAGCTCGCAACGCTGAAGTGGTAATTTATACGTGCGCTTGCGGGAACTCTCCACTATTTTATTTAAGCAGTCACACTCACTAGTGAGCACTTACTACGCACACATTTACAAGACCCACATGCATACAATTCGAGTATTGCCTATTTGAACTTCCTAAAACCTGTTCATTCGCAATCACTTATATTTATTGATAACTATTATGAAATACATTAAAAACATATTTTATTTTTAATCAGTTGAACTAAAATCAACAAACACGATTTTGGTTGTCATAATAATTGTCATTTGTAATGATTTTTATTACACAATAACAATAAAAAATTGCTTGCCACTTATAATTGTTTACAGACATAATATTATAGTGTGTATGATATATTAGTATAATGCGATAAGGATTGTTTAATTATATTGTCAAGAAAGTAAACTCTTTAAAAATATATAAAAGAAGACAAGTGTTCGTACAATAACCGACAAACAAAATCAAATCAAATCATAATAATGTCGTCCCATCAATCAGCCGGTAAATAATGTGTTATTGATCACACAATGCAAAAGTAATGCAGTATATTGTACTAAATATCTAAATGACTATATATTAAAATTATAATGATTTGAGTAGCTAGTAACAAAAATGAAACGATCAAGTGTTAATTCTATATGATTTAAACTTTTACCCACACTGTACCTCATAATTTGAAAGAATATAATACAAGTAATAGAAATTCTAACAACAAGACGTGTCATTTTGTAATGAGGCTGATATAATGTAACCAGGCGCTTTGTATAGGCATTCCTCGTGCATTTCAGAGATATTGAACTGCCACTCCGTGTAGCGCCGAAACAACTCGTATAAAACTATAGCCAGTATAAACTCATGTTGTTAGTATTATTATTTGAGTGCTACACAGTATACTGTATATAAATAATAACTATTATTTTAATTATTGTTATTACTATTAATATACGTATTACTTATTTATTATACCTACACTAAAATATTCTATTGGTCGTGTTACAACAATGTACCTACGCAAAACGATTGTTTGAAAAAGCGAAACTATACCTAATAAACCGCATACGATAATTAATGGTACCAGTTTGTCGAAAACAACACGTTTATTATATTAGCCCGTATTGATTGAAAAAGTATATTATTAGGTCAACAAATCGTGTCAGGCAGGATATTAACCGTCAATCGGATGGTTTGTTCGTTAACGTAACTGCACGTCAGCGGGTGTACTACAAGTGTGATTAAATCACCACTATCGATTTTCAGGATGACAAGACTCGTCGAACAACATTGCCGTCGACAACACTCGACTTGCAGCAAATGTACCTATATCATATAGATATGATGTCCAGATTTAATAGTCGAGTGCTGTTGACGTCGGTAATGAAACTGACGAGGAACAAAGCAAACCACCGCGGCGTAGTTAACAGTGCGTAATCGCTATATATGGGTTAGGAACTTAGGGGGTGGTCCCGTACCTACCCCCGCCTGAAGCGGCATTATTTCATTTTTATCAATACAAATTTTACGAAATTCCAACAGATAGCTTTTTTTTAATCCGGTTAAACAAATAGATCCGTTTATCTTGTTGAATTTAACAGAAAAAAAAATGTGGACTGAAATATAATATTGATATTTTAGTCGACAAAACTAATACAATACACATAACCGAAGATAATAAATATTTAAATATCAATGAATTAATCGGCAGGGAGCCGAGAGGTGACGAAAAAGGAAATCAAATTCAAAATAAGGCGTATCCGGTATCTCAGTATGTGTACCATATCATGGGAGGTGACGTTTTCGAAAAAACATTTTATAACGTCACAATATAAAAAATTATGTAACATTATTTCATATTTGTACATAAAAGTTAATATTGATAAGATACTATATACTCATTACAGACAGTAATGCAGTAAAGCAAGGTGTGAGGGGACATTTTTTTCCTCACGAAGTCGGTTAGGTTAGAAATCGATATCACACCGTGGGCAATAATAATTATGAAGGCAAAAGGACCAGTGCAGAAATTTTTAAAAAAAAACCAACAAAAATGATCGCGACAGATACAGTAAAAGACGCGTACGGGGAAGACGTGATCGCCCGGCGGCGGAGTACCGTAGTGCGACTCGCTTCCACCGTGTGGCGTTGCCCTAATAATAATATCGTCGGCAGCTACGGCGGCGGGCGCTAGTGTCGAGAGAACACGTCTTCGCGGTGGCGGTGGGACGAGGAGGGGGACGGCGGTATTATAGTGGCCGCCGACCGCCGTAACCGGCGTCAGTATACCACGCTCGCTCGTTCAACCCGGTCCGCGTAGCAGGCTCATTGGTATACGCACACGCACACGTACACGCACACGCACACGCACACGCACACGCACACACGCAATCGTCGCTGTTCTCGCCGTCAGGTACGACATGGTCGACATTGTACGCCACGGCCGCCGACCGGAGGCAGCAGCACAAGCGTTGTGGTGAACGCGCCCCCCGCGACACTCGGTGAAGACGACCGCCACGCCGCCGTCAGTCGCCACTCGTCGACGCCGCCGCGAAGTGTTCGTCCAGTCAGTGTGCGATCGTCCGCTTTTGCCGACGGTACTCGAACGTTGTAGTTGTTGTGGTCGTATCAGAGTTTGCTCACAGCTCGCGACCACTGCACGAGTGCAGAAATCACGCGCACCGCAATTCGTCGCTCCGTTTGATAATTTTTTTCGCCGTCCGCGATAAATTTTAATTCAGATTTTTTTACGCAACGACGTTTCTGCCAAACGGGGAAAAATAATATTTTTTCCTCTACATCACTCGAGCGTGTGTAGACTTTGAATTTTTTTTGTGCGTGCTCGTAATTTTTTTCGACTACGTGCTCCGTGTTCTCTGGATCGCGACGATTAATATTTTTGCAATACACTTAAAATAATAAATAAACATTTACAACATGGTGCCTAAACAAGAGACTATCCGCATCGTTGACTCGTCGGATAACAAGTTGGCCCTGCCGATGTTTGGCTCACAACTGGTCGACGAAAACTCGACGACGCCGTACTCCGACGCAACACAGGTGCGTGTCATCTCTTCATAAATAAATAAAATTGTATCCCTAAGCCACAATGATTTTTAGTAACTTTTTTTTTATCAAAATAATTATTTTTTACTTTGAAAAAAAAAATAAACTTGAGCGTAGTGGTAAAACCTTGTGCGTGTTTTTCCGGGTGGCAAGAACGCGCAATAATATTTTCCCAAAATTCGTTGGTACCTTGAATTTTCGATTTTTGTCGTGCAATAAAAATAACTATTTTAGTACCTAATAATAATAATAACACGAAAATATTTTTATACTCTACAGTAGTAGAACCTAAAAATAAAACAACAACAAACCATGTTTACATAATTTTATTTTAATTCTCTCTAAACCCTGTTAAGTATAAAATCAAATAAACTGAAATCGTAATACTATGACCCAATTTTCTCTCCGGTGCACGCGAGATACATTTGGACGAACGTTTTCGCGACTGTTATCTTATCTGCACGCCGCCCAGGCCGGTGTCGTGGTCTATAAAACTGTATTTCGGCTAGATTCTTGGAAAAAGAATCGTTGTTTATTTTTACTCTTTGGGGTGTAACCGAAATTGGTTGACAAGTGGAGTTTTGTTTCAATCTTGCACTTTTTGCCTATGTCCCAGACTCATGTTTTCTGAATATTCCTTAGAAAAAATCCCAAACAATTAAGTATTGGTATTTTGTATACAAGTGTGTGCATGCGTTACATATTTTGCAAAATCAAATTATAACTCGTTCTTTAAAAATTGTATTTTTTTCCACCCTAAATCTTTATACAAGTTGTTGAAATGAACACTAAAAATGTGTATATTATTATAATCTAATATCAATCAGTTTGCTCGTAAAAATAAATCGCAAAAAAATTATTAAAAACGTAATACCTACTTATTATTTATTGATTTTTCGGAAGTCCCTATCCGTGTTTTAATACAATTAGTTCTTAAAATATCAAACATGAACATTGAAAACAATAAATTTCAACTATAATTCAAACTAATAAAATCAATCTATTCAAATATTGAACAGATTTATTTTCATTATTTTCAATAAAAACAAATCGCAGTAGTAAAAATTATAACATTTTAATTTTAGTATACCTGCTTAATATTTATACTTCAAAATATATTGGTACCTAAAATATACTTGTTATTAATTATTTCATTAAAATCTGTTCTGGTGTATCCAACTCGTACAATTTTGTTTAGATTTATTATTTTATTCCATTAAGTACCTACTATATTTTTCCAAATGTAGCAATTTACCCGGAAACATATTTGTTAACACGGTATATAGTTTTGTCCGTGAGTGTTAAAATATTTAATCAAAAGACCTTGGTTCTATGCCGTATATGGCAAAACTCTTTGCCCGGCAGTTATATTAAAACAAAATAAAAAGATAAGATACAATTGATTCTTTTCAACTATCATTTCAGATAATATCGTTAAGAATAAAAAATATCATGCTTTTATAATATCTGTATTTTTTTATTTATAGTTAGAAAATTTTAAAGGCCCGACTAACCATTAACTATTATTACATTTGTCCATCGTCCAATTTTATTCGTTTTTTTCATCTTAACCGATTATCGAGTGCAATAATTCGAAATCTTATAATAATGTAATGTCGTCATATTATAAACTAAAAATAATTTGTCCCATAATATAAAAAAATATATTAAATAATAAGTAGGTACTCAGGTATTAAAAATTATTAAAATATGATCGTATTTCCGGTAATAGTGTTTGTAACGAATTTGTCAACGATACTCAAGGTTTGGGATAAAATTTGTTTGTATTTTATTATTATGATTAATATTCGTTATCGTGTAAGTAGATCACGTTTACCGGTAAGATAGTATGAGCAAAGTGTGTGCATATGCGTATCGCGTATCATGTTCAAAATACGTAATTTTTCACTTCCCTATGTTTGCCGAAAGATACTCGTAGTTGAAGATTCCGGCCGGTTGTTCTCTCCCCTCCCGGCGTGATTTCGAAAATTTATTTTTACAAATTCAACCGAAAATTTGACGAGGGACATCCAATAAAAGTTTCCACTAAAAGAAAAAAAATCCGATTAAACGTAATATTATTAGTGCCAATTATATTATACGTTTTTACTGCACTCATTAGACCACGGAAATCGTGCGATGATATAGTTATTAATATATTAATCCGCAGAATTTGTTTTTTCCTCTGCTTGAGATTAAAAATTGAGTATCGCCGGGAATAGGTACCGCGGCGGCGAACTTTGATGATGAGAGCGAGGGGGTCGCGGGTGCACAGATAGACAGGTGGTTGCCCCGTCCGAAGGTTGTTGTGTAGATATTATGTATGTGTGTGTGTGCGCGCGCAATGAGTCATTCGCCTTTTCCGCGTGACCGTCGCCGACGTCGGTGGCGGGAGGGGAAGCGCGCTCCGTGAGGTTGCGGGCGTACTAGCGAGCGCGCCTCGTTAATGACCTTGAGTTGTTACACAACGCCGCACCGCCATCCCACCGACCGACCGTTCGCTCGCACGACGCCTTGACAGTGAAAGTAACCACCGCCGCCGGGTACCGAGCGCCGCGCGCACGCGAGATCACCGCGCACATAATATTGGCAATGTTGTTATTATTATTATTATTATTATTTTATTATTTTTATTGCTGTTAGCGCTCTGTATTACTATTTTTCTGCCGGTCACAGTAGCTCCTCCACTACGATTATAATAATTATTACGGTGGCATCATATTATTTTACCCATATCTGGGACGATATGTTTAAAAACTCGCTGGGGTTGGCCGGTCCTCACAAACAGCGTCTCTCAAAAATTAATAAATGAGTTCCAATTCAATTTGTTCAATGTATGATTAATGATAATTTAATACTTGACCGTATTTTAAAAAAATATTCTCTTGTTATTGGTACGTCGTTTTAGACTTTTTGTCAGCATTAGGCATCTGTATTTGTACATTAGGATTTTTAGACGATTTTCTAATTTTATAAATATTGATTATTTCGATTAAACTGATGAAAAACAAAGAATATGACTGTTCACCTGTTACAGTTACGGGCGTTGGTCGAGAGAATCGTAGTTTGTATAGATAGCGAAAATAATGGGAAGAACTATAACTAATTATTTTTAAAAAGGACCATAAAAACATATTACCCTGACTAGTACAACCTGAAATTATGCCATCAAATTGTCATACTTGCCGCCGCTCAATATTATTTTTTAACAGCAAAGTCTATATTAACGATTTTTTTTTTATATTTATTTATTTATTAACACGCGTTTTGCCAACGAATACTATCGTTATTATTGCCGTTTGACGTGCGCGTTCGTTAGAATATAATAATATATAATTTAACATTAATTAATGAATTAATTAACGTGTTAACGTTATCACTTCGTCGTGCAAAGATGAAAACAAAAAATTATGATATTTTACATATTATTATGGTTACGAGTTAAAATGTGACCAATTTTTACTAATGGTGTGAATTTTTTTTTCTTTCTTTCTTGTTACAGACGAAAAAGAACAATCCGAACCACATCAAACGGCCAATGAACGCGTTTATGGTGTGGTCACAGATTGAGAGACGTAAGATATGTCATGATCAACCGGACATGCACAACGCGGAGATATCGAAGAAGCTCGGTATGCTGTGGAAAACGCTGACCGATGAACAGCGAAAACCGTTCATTGAAGAGGCCGAGACGCTGAGACTGATGCACCTCAAAGAGTACCCGGACTACAAGTACAGGCCACGCAAGAGGACGCCAAAGAACAGTAGTAGTAACACGACCTCGTCCGGTCCGGCCGCGATCGCCAAGACCACCACTTCGGCCGCGGCTCAGTCAAAATTCCGGAAGAACATGTGCAAAAAGTTCGGCAACGCTTTGACGACCGTGTCCAGCCGCGTCGCGTGTAGCATTAACTCGGGGACGTTGCATGTGCTGGACAACAGGATCGCGTCACCAGCGACCTTGATCCAGGACAACACCACTTCATCGTCATCGTCGTCAAAGTCTTTCGTCCGACGAAACGGTATAATACAGGTGAACAGGATGAGCCCGGTGAATCCGGATCGGCTCAAGTATCACTTCACGATCGATACAGCAAAGGGCAACAACAGTTCCAAGGATGCGGCCGAGGTGCGCGTGCCCGCCTCGGTAAACGCCAAGGTGCCGACCAGCCCCACTTGCGACTCTCCCAACTCGCCGGAGAGCGCTACGTTCTATGACGACTCGCCTCTGACATGTTTCGACGTCAAGCCGCTCAAAATCAAGTTGCTCAACACGCTCAACACTTCGGCCACAATCACAGTGCTGGCCGACGTAGACGACGATGACAACGAGGACGGCGGCACCACCAACGCCAACGCCATGTTGCTCAGTCCCGGTTCGGCGGCATCGCTCATGTCCGCCCGGCAGATTGACCAGCAGCTCCACCAACATAACCAGCACAACCACCTAAGCAATCAGTCGCCGGCCGATCTGCTCGCCCGGAATCTGATGAAGGATGATCACCTGCTGGTCAAGGCCGAACCCTCGCATCCATCTCCGTCTTCGTCCTCGATGTCCTCCGTCGCCCAGTCGTCGTATTTCTCCGTCAAACAGGAACCGATGGACTGCGATTCGGAGTCGGCCGCGCTGGGCCGCGTCGGTGAGAATCCATCGCTGGCCGACCTCGAGTGCCTGGACGACCTCATCCAGATGCCGTCCGACTTCAAGATGGACATCGACTGCCTGTCGTCCGACATGGACAACGGCTCCGTCCGGCAAAGCTCGCACCTCGAGTTCACGTGCACGTCCGACATGACCGACATACTGTCCCACATGGGCGTGACCGCCGACTGGGAGGACGTGCGAGGCATCATCAATGACTGCTAGATGTCTCGGGGCAGAGGAGAAGAACGCGCCCGTACCGCTAGCCCCAAAATCACTCCTCCCCACCGCCACACCCGCCGCCGTCGTCGTCGTTCACGTTATTTGACCGCCGCCACTACTACCCCCCCCCCCACGAACACCCAAATATTAAAGATTTTTTTTTTTTTTTTTTTTTTTTTTATTTTTTTTTTTTTTTTTTTATTTTTTTTTTTTTTAAGTTAATTTATTCATTTTATTACGTTTTCCTCTTTTTTTGTCATATTATATGTTATATTTATTCTACCTATACGTACGCTTGTAAGTATGTATGTATTGTGTGCGCGTATAATATATATATATATATTTATATGAAAATCTATACACTGCGGTAAAAAAATAAAAACAATACTCATATAAAACGACGTGCTTGCGTTTGGAGTAATAAATCACACACATGTAAGTTTTTTATGTCCGTTTGTTTTTGTATACGTCTTCTAGATATATATGTATATGTGTATTTGCATAAAATTATATTATTATTACTACTACTGCAGTTGCCACTATTATGTTTTTATACATTCGTATACACACACAGTACTGATCGGCGGCAGACGACAATCGGAATTAATTTCACTCTTATCGTGTAAATATTATATAATACGACTTTTTTATACTGTCGGTACGATACGTGTCGAATATTTCATTGTACATTTATATACAACATATATATATATATAGATATATTAAATATAAAAACAACGTGACTTTTTTTATACTTATTTCGCTCGTAAATTGCGTAAAATTCGTCAAAAAATTGTGATGTCTCGACGTTTATTTTTTAAGTTTGTCGTGTATTCGTAAAAAAAAATAATGATATTATATTATATGTATTTGATTTACTTCTGAATCGCTTTCTAAAATTTTTTGAACACGACTAACGTAATATTGTAAAAATATTATATTGTATGCTAGTTACTAGAGCCTCAGTAGACAATAATGATAATAATAATATTCGCTTCATAATCTTTGAATGTTTTTTTTTTACTCCAAGTGTGAACATTTTGTTTAGGTGTTTTTTATATATTCATATATAACATATATTTTAATCATTATCACGTTGTACTATAAAAAATAATTATACTGTTGCTTAAGTGTTGTTAAGTATAGGGTGCTTCCATTTGTATAATCATTATGAAAATTGAAAAAAAAGCAAAAAAATTATAATATTATATGTATGTGTGTATATGTATATATACATAGTTATATGCATACGCGTGTGTATATAATATGTATGTTTATGTGTGTATATTATATATTATGAAAATCTTGTGTCCGAATTAGAAAGAGGAATGTTTTCAACGTCATATTTTTTTTTATGCTTTGGCTAGATACTTACACATTATAAGCGTATTTTGATTTATCTGTATTTTTTATTGAAATTCAAAAGTAAAAAAAAAAAAAAACCATTAACGATAATTCGATTTTTACCTGTAACAATAACACATCGTGTAAAATAAAATACCATGTACATAAATGAAGAGAAACGAGGGCGCGCGATACGGTGGTGTTTGTATCATTTTTACCATTTGAATCCCACGAGTCATTTTGTACTAATTAAAAACCCTAAAATTTATATGATCTCATACAAACAAAAAAAAAAATATTTTTTTTTTATATAATTTAAATATATAACTTCCACAACTTTTTCTGAACGTAATTAATAAAACACGATGAATACTTGTTCGACAGAGCATTTATAGATTGTTTTGTAATGAATGAATTTTTTTTTCCTAATATTTGCCCCTAAATAATATTTTGAAGTGCAAGGATATTATACACTATATAGTCATGTTTAATCATATATATATATATTTTTTTTTTAATACAAATGTAAAATGTATGACATATATGTATGTACCCGGTACCTATATATATTATGTATATATTAAGGTATATACAAAAAAAAAAAATAATAGAAAAAACGAAAAAAAATACAAGGTCTAATATTATACATTATATTATTATTCGCCTTATTATTATCATTATTATTATTATTATTATTATTACTATTATATTGTTTTCTATATATATGTATTAGCGTTATAAGTACATATGATTAAACCCCCCTCCCTTACTTTCAGATTTAAATTTTATATACTTATATATTAGTTGGTTTATTATTATTAAAATACATAATGATGTGTACGATGTGAATGTGTTGTATATAGATTTACTCATTGTACATTAATACAGGTAGACTTTACGGTACTGTACCTATATATTGTTCGCAAGTAAATCGGTATAATGATGTTAAGAAGTTTTAACACTATTTTTTTTTATTATTATTATTATTATTATTTGTGCATCGCGTTATTTTATATAAATAAAAAAAACGAACGCGCGCGCTTGTACAAAAAATACATTATAAAAGTATAATCTTTTTTTATATCTTAAAATTATATTTATATAATTGTTAATCGATTGTGTTTTGTTTTTATACCCGACTTTCCTACTAAATATTCTTCATTCTTAAATCTTTTTTACAATCTCCAACAAAATACACGCGGTCGCCGAATAGGGTTAACTCGATGACGAGGCGAGGGCAACGAGTGTAAAATCAAACTATTTCCTACAATTTTTCCGAAAAGAGCACAGCGCAGCGTGTGTTGTCGACAAAGTGTGGCTGTGAAAGCCGTTAAAACATTTAGTCACGCGTGTGAACATGTTTTATTTCATTGTTTTACAATAGTGGTAAATAAAAAATATCATCTGGCGTGGTGTTGTCTCGTGTTCAATCACACCCGACCCGATTGATTTGGCAAAACTCATACAATATAATCGGGGCTGTGTATAACAATTATTTTCCATGATGTCCGTCAAAATTAAATCTCATTAAAGTATATTATAGTAACATGATACAAATCTACCTCGTTTTCCGGCAGGTCATTATAGGTGTAGACTGTAGGTGTATCAATATATCTATGTACCTACTTATATTTTTGTACACAGATACCTTTTATATATATGTGCTGCCGTCGATCGAAATAATAAATATGTTTTTATATTATTATTAATATACCGTAAAAAAAATAATAGCGATAATAACCACTTAGCCGTCGCATATTAAACCATCAAAACTCGCATATTGTTATTATTTTAAACGGCGTAGTTGGCGTACCTATTCGAAAGTGCCAGATCGACGATAATAACATTATGTACAATATTGTTGTTGCGTACAATGTTTTTGGTAAGCGTACAAAGTTGTAACATCACTTAAACGCGGTACATATTATTATTAATTTATTTATATACTTTAATAGTTTAAATATATACATTAATCTAAAACTATTATTGAACGCGTGCAGCATTAACATTACGCGTGACTGCGACGTGTTAGTTATTAATTGTTGTCGAGATGACCGTTGCCGCGCGTGGTGTCGATTTCGAATTCATCATTTTTGTTTTCAGTTTTTTTTTTTTAATGACGACGTTTGTTTTACCCAATAATACATTATTATTTTTACGTAATAATATTATTGTAATGTTGTATAATCACGTCGTGGCGCAGTGTTGTCTGTGTGTGCCACCGAGTACCTATATATGCGCGGAGACGCGACGTCGTCGCATTCCTTGTAAATGTGATTCACTCGTCCGTGCCAAGAGGAATAGAAAAAAAAAATTCGCGTGTACGTAATAAAATAATAATATAATTGTAATGCGCACTCGGGTAAATCATTACGCACGCGTACGGAGCTCGCGGAGGGCGGCGGCGAGATTGTTTTTAATCGTTATTTTTAATAAACCGGAATATTGTGATGATATTGTAAAAGCAACGCGTTTTGGTATACGGAGAAAATCTGCAGATTAAATGACGTATTGTTGTTGTAATAATAATATCTCTGGCCGGGCGACAAGACTATAAATTTCGAATTTCGGGTCAGTTCCACGTGATTTCGATTGTTTTCCGTATACATATACCATAAAAAAAATAGCAACTTCAGTACTTCACAAGTAAAACATCAAAACTGTGAAACGTGCAACAGTCGATAGGTACTCCTATCGGAAGTATCGAGATTTTGGACGAAAATCGCTAGAGATGAAGCTAGAGCTATGTAGCTTTATCGATGCGGTTGCATCTTAAGTGCCTGAAAATTCGATGTTTCATTTTAGGGTACCACACTCGTTTGTTCGAAAACTAACGCATTTTTAAATATTTTATCATAAAACGATTTTTGATATTTATTGTAAATAAAATGTTCAAGTTTTTTACTTTTACGATTGACAACAATTGGTAGTATTAATTTGTATTTCATATAATTCAGAAGCAAAATATCTTGTGAAATTCAGTGTATAGTAAAATCAAATTATGAATGAGAATCTTATTATGGGTATTGTTATAACTTTAGGAAATCGATTTATACTAACATTTAACTGGTAAAAATAGAAATAAGCTTTTTAAAAAAAATTACAATATATTACAATGTCAAAATATGCAGTCAATAAGTCGAAGTATATTCGAACATTTAAAAATGTATTTTCTATGAAGTACACCTAAAAACTAAAAAGTAATAAATATAATAACTACCAATCATAATATTAAGGACTATGGTTATCGATGTTAATAATATTGTAGATTGCAAACAAAGTCTAATTTACGCTTGCAATTTGTTTCGAGATTTTAAAATAGTATTTATTCCATAACCAAATTTACGTAATTATACTGACCATAAAAATAATATAAGCTAAAAACAAAATTATAAGATGTATGCAAAATAAAATTGGTATTATTTTAATAAGAATGATTTAAAATCGTGTTCATTAATTGTTGTCAGATTTCTAATACCATATTCTAATTAATATAGCATGCATTTCCATCTAAGTCTGTTCGCTAAACAGTCGAGTTATAAGTTAATTTGAACTTTATAAGAGTACAGTGGAGTAACAGATGAAACCCAAAGTACCATTGATAATCTATTATTGTTGAACTACTTGAACTCAAATTCTACTTAATATGCATACAGACTACAGTAGTGACCTGCTCAATAACGAGATCTATACCATGTCGCTGAACAACTACATTGGTTTTTAAATTAAATTATACATCAAATCGTTTAGGTAGGTGCTACTATACAAAAGAAAATTTCGTATGAAGCTAATACTC